CCAAGAACCTCCCCAACCCCCACCTGACTCAGCACGCGGAGCTTCGTTTAATCAGGAGCTGTTAAGGGAACAAGAGGTCCCAGCTGTCCGCAGGGCCCCTCCCCTGGTAGAGAGGTGGTCGAGTTAGGGCCCTGGCGATGGGTCTGGAGTGGCGTGGAAGGAAGGGCTGGTCTGTGTTTGGGGGTGCCTGAGGCCCTCCTCTGCCTGCAGCTTAAACCCGGGCCGCTGGAGGAGACCTACATCGCCACCATCCTGCGGGAGATCCTGAAGGGCCTGGACTACTTGCACTCGGAGCGCAAGATCCACCGAGACATCAAAGGTCCCTGTGCCCCCCGACCCTGGAAGCGCCGGGGTGGGAGGTGGGGGCAGGTCGCTGGGAGGGGTGTGCGGCTGGGGGTGCTGGTTGCCCGGGACCCTGTAGCTCAGTGCTTCTGGCCTGTACTCTCTTCTGCTGCCGGAAACCAAGCAGTTCCGTCGGATAGAAGGTAGTCGCCTGTCCCTGTATGGTGCAGGCGCTCGGTCTGTACCTTTTGTGAGAAGGGACAATCCTTGCTCGTGGTCCCCCATCCTAGCGTCAGCTGTGGGTCTGAGCCACCCCACCCTGTGGCCAGCCCTGCTGAGCCGGCGAGGCAGCTGGGAGCGTGAGGCCGAGGGTCAGGGTCCCCTCTGCCTGCCGCGCCGTGGCTCTGCTCTTGGGCTTTGTTATGAGAGGCAAACCCTGGGAGGGCCCTGGAGCTTGTGCTGGGGGGCGCCCAGGTGGGCCCCCCATGCTTGCAGCTCCCCACCCGCGGTGCCTGTGGCCCTGGGTCTCCAGCCCACTGGCTGGAGAGGAAAGCTAAGGTCCCTGAGTCAGACGCGCTTGTGTCCCCAGGTGGCCTTGTGCTTCCTCGGGCAGCGGTGTGCAGGCTGGGGCCCTGCTGAGGGTGACACCTGCTGTCCTTTGTTGAGCAGCCGCCAACGTGCTGCTCTCGGAGCAGGGGGACGTGAAGCTGGCAGACTTCGGGGTGGCGGGGCAGCTCACAGACACGCAGATCAAGAGGAACACGTTTGTGGGCACCCCCTTCTGGATGGCACCGGAGGTCATCAAGCAGTCGGCCTATGACTTTAAGGTGGGCACGCAGGTGGGTAGGAGGGTGGCTGCAGCACAGCCTGGGGAGCCCCTGGCAGCCACGGTCCTGTGCGGGTCTCTGTCCAGGCCGACATCTGGTCGTTGGGGATCACAGCCATCGAGCTGGCCAAGGGCGAGCCTCCGAACTCGGACCTCCACCCCATGCGTGTCCTGTTCCTGATCCCCAAGAACAGCCCGCCCACCCTGGAGGGCCACCACAGCAAGCCCTTCAAGGAGTTTGTGGAGGCCTGCCTCAACAAAGACCCCCGATTCGTAAGCCCTGTCCCGTGGTGGCGCTGGCTCCTGGGGCCCTGACTCCATGGGGCGGGCTGGGAGGGGCCTGAGCGGCGACATGCGGTGGGGCTGCTTGGGAACCAGGCCCCACGGGAGGTGAGTGGGCCTGAGGCCCCTTCCCTGTGCCAGGTGTCCCCCCGCTCCAAGCCCCTCCTGATCCCAGGGTGGGACCCACCAGCGGCTTAGCTCTAGGGGAGCTCCTCCCCCCAGCCTCCTGGTTGCCTCCTCCCACTGGGTTCCCTGGGGAGCACTGAGCTCCAGGGCCTGAAGGCAGAGCTCAGCTGTCCCTGTCACCGGGTGACCTGCCTTCTTTTCCCCGGCAGCGGCCCACTGCCAAGGAGCTCCTGAAGCACAAATTCATCACGCGCTACACCAAGAAGACCTCCTTCCTCACGGAACTCATCGACCGCTACAAGCGCTGGAAGTCGGAAGGGCACGGCGAGGAGTCCAGCTCCGAGGACTCGGACATGTAGGGGCCCTTCGGGACGGCACACACCCTCACGGCCGGGGGCCATGGGCCCCTGAAGCCCAGGCGGGCCTACTTCGCATTTAGGGCTAAGAGGTGGCCTCCAAAATAAATGGGAGGCTAGACAAAGTGTGGGCCTTGGAACTCCCAAGTCCCAGCCCCCGGGGCCCTCACAACCCTTCACCTTCCACCCCAGCGATGCAGATGCTGAGGACGGAGAGCAGGGTCCCATCTGGACGTTCCCCCCCACCATCCGGCCAAGCCCGCACAGCAAGCTGCACAAGGGGACAGCCCTGCACGGTCCCCAGAAGGTCTGACCTGGCCAGGAGGGTGGGGGGTTGCTTCTGGGGGTGGCAGTTACCCTGGCGTGGGTGCTTTCACAGAAACGGGGAGGGAGCACGCCTGCCCCCTGGGTGCGCACTCTTTCCTCTGCCCTGCTCACCCTGCTCTCGCTTTGACCTTGCAGTCTGCGGAGCCCATCAAGAGACAGCCGAGGTCGCAATGCCTGTCCACGCTGGTCCGGCCTGTCTTTGGAGAGGTGAGGGCCGGGCCAGGGAGGCCCCTGGGGCTGAGGGCTGTAGTGCCGCCCTGCAGACACTTTCCACGCAGTGTTACACAAGGTTTACAGTGAGGGGTGCCGCCAGCCCACCCTGTGTGTGGGGTTTCCAGGCCCCTCGGAACCCACTGTGGTTGGGCCCGGATCTGGGGGCCAGGCTTTCTGAGCAAAGGAGAAGTGGTTGGGACAAAGTACCCTCATGTGACCTTCCCGAGTTCTCAGCCTGTTGGGGTCCTTGAACAAAACTAGTGTTCTGTGACCTTTTATTCTGAATTATAAACACGGGACGGTCACCTGTTTAGAGAGCCTGGGAGGCTCAGTTCTCGGTGTTGGAAGTCTGGCCCAGGGCAGGGAGGCCTCAAGGGTGACTCCTCAGTGGTCCTGTCCCCCTTCATGTCACCTGCTGATGGGTGATTGGTAACACCCCAGGAATACGATGCAGCCAGGTACCCCAGACCCCGGTCATGGGCCTGGTTCCCACCTAGGTGATAGCAGCACCCGGAGCCCAGGGAGTGAGGACGGGATGCTGAGAGCCTGTCTGAGGGAAGTGGTGGGGTGGAGGGGCATCTGGGTACCCAGAGGGGCCTGGAATGCAAGGGGGGAGCTTGGAGAGGGGGAGGTGGCAAGACAGGGACTGTCACAGGCTAGGCACCCGGAGCTTGTGGGGCTCAGCTGGGACACGTGCCCACGCTGGCAGCGAGGCAGGGCCAGGAGGGAAGTGGCAGAGTGTCAGAGGGGTGGGCCAGGGCCGCTAGCGCCCTGGGCCGCTGAGCGGGTGGCGTGGGCTTTGAGGGACGTGTGGGGGTGGGGCCGTGGGCCGCTGGAGCCCCTGCACGTGCATGGGGAGGAGGGAAGTGGCGAGCATGGCTTCATCCAGCTGGTCAGGTGCACCCCGAGGCTCCTGATTCTGTGGGCTGGGCCTGAGGTCGAGGCTGCTGGACAGGGTGCCCTGGGAGGCACACAGGCTCTTTCCCGTTTTGTTTCTGTGAGGTGTGCGGCAGGAGCACGGGGCTGACCGGTCTCTAACTGCTGCCTGCCAGGTCTGCTGGAGGGTGGGGATCCTCCATCCGGTTCCCACCGCGTGGGTGGTCGGGAGGCCAGGGGTCAGGTTGTCTGGATCTGGCCATGCAGGGCACTTGGGGTTTTGAGCTTCTGTGACCCTCAGTTGGGAGGAAGCCACGTGGTTAGCCTGGCCCGCCCCAGCATGAGAGGCCGGTAGCAACCCCTCTTGAGAACCACGACCTGAGATTGCCTGGGGCGCGGGGACGGGGCAGCACCTGCCTTCCCCGGCGCCCTGGGCTCTGGCTCCATCCCTCACCAGAGCCTCCAGACTTGGTGGGACCCAGCCCAGCCCAGCCCAGCCTTGTGGTGGAAGGACTGCTAGGTCTCTGGTGCAGGCGGAGGCGCGGTGCGCCGGCCCCGGGGACGGGCCGGGGAGCCTTTGGCGCGAGCCTCCCGCGAGAGCCTCCCTGCCGAGGGCTCCGTGCTCCGGCGGGAGCTCGCGGCTGAGGCGCACGGGGGTCTCTCTGCAGCTCAAGGAGAAGCACAAGCAGAGCGGCGGGGGCGTGGGGGCGCTGGAGGAGTTGGAGAACGCCTTCAGCCTGGCTGAGGAGTCCTGCCCTGGCATCTCGGACAAGCTGATGGCTCACCTGGTGGAGCGGGTGCAGAGGTGAGGCCCTCGCTGGAGACGAGGCTGTGCGCATCTCCCCCACTCTCCGTCGTACCTTCCGGCCTGCTTGCCTTCAGCGGCTGTGCCCACGGGCTCGATTCAGAGAGCAGGCCGCCTGCTCGGCGAGCACCCGGGGCCCCGAGCCTGCGGCCGCCCACTGCCCACTCCCCAGCAGCAGCGGCGCACCCGGTCTGCGCTCCAGGCCAGGCTTCTTCTCCGCAGGTTTTCGCACAGCAGAAACCACCTGACGTCAACCCGCTGAAGGGCGCGGCTGCTCGTGGAGCGTGGGGAGAAGGGTCTTTGTGCGGAGCTCGTCAGGCCGGGGCTGACTGGGAACCCTTGTGCTGCTGCGGCCACGTGGGCCTCGCTGCCAGGTCACAGCCTCCGCCCCCTCCCGGCAGCAGGGCGGCGAACCCCGTGGCGCCCTGGACTGAGGAGCAGGGACTGTCGGGCCCGTCTGCCTCCTCCCCTGCCTGGGGGCCCACGGTGGCCACGCCGGTCGTAGATTGGCCTGCTGGTGTTGGATCAGGTACCGCGTCTCCAAAGTACTCGAGTCAGCCAGAACTGGTTGTGGTTTTGTTTTTGTTTTTGTTTTTTTAAAGAAAATGAACTTCCTCGCTTCCCTAAATGTTCTGAAGTTAAGGTGTTAGTTTTCATAGAACATGGAGAGGCTCCTGCCACTTTGAATAAAGACCTGAATTGGAGAGATGCTGGTGGTGGGTGGGGCCCGGTTCCTGGCTTCTGAGTCCTTGTCCCGGCACATGGGGACCGCGTGGCTGCTGGCAGAGGGCAGGGCGGCACGCAGGGTGCGGGGAGAAGCCCTTTATCTGGCACCCGCAAGCACGTTAGCACGAATGAACAGAGCTCGTGTCCGTTCACTTCCAATTTGTTAGGTAACACTGGGAACTAATAAATTAGAGGCCCTCGGGGGAACTTTGGTTTCCCCTTCTTCAGAGGTCTGCGGGGCGGGCACCACAGTGGCTTCTGCTGGGCCTGTGTGCAGCACGTGTCGCAGGGTCCTGTTCTAGGGCAGTCCTCAGCAGGTGCTGCTCGGGGAGAGGGGAGGGCGGATGAGCACGGGGCTTGCTCCACCCCGAGCTGGGCCTGCAGTTTCACGTGCGTGTGGGATCCTCCTGGTGCCCACGGGGCTGAGGGGATGCTGCCCCTCCCAGAGGTCACCGAGGCTTCCCCCCAGCACACCATCCTACCCCACCCCCCATCCTATGTTGGGGACGCTGGGACATGCAGTTGCAGGGGAAGTGCTGACCCAGCTCTGCTTCCTCGGCTCTGTCCTCGTCGGGCAGGATGGGCTTCATGCCTCTTCCTCAGGACGCCTGGCCCTCCCAGGCGAGCTGCCGGCTCTCTCGATCACCTCCATCCACCTGGAGCAGAGGTGGGACCATCAGAAGCTCCCAAGATGTTCACTTGGGAGTCAAGGGATGCTCTGGTCATACCCGTGGCCTTGTGCTCAAGTTTCTTCCCAAGGACAACCCCAGACACGGAGTGAATGGGACAAAGCAAGAACCGGTGAAAGCCCTGGAAGCCGTGCTCAGCAGCAGGGGACCCCAGGATTACCTCCCAAACGTGTACTTGCTCTCAGCTCGGAAGAAGTAGACGTGGGATTTGAACTGGAGCTTGAAGACGTGCTGCTTGTGGACGCCGTCAGCCTCCTTGGGGACACTCACGCTGTAGCCCAGCAGTGGGAGGCTGGCCAGGGGGTAGTCGTCCTGCGAGGTGGCATGCAGCTCTGCAGGTGCTGTCCCTGCCACCTGGCTCTGTCCTGATGGCCGCCCTCCCCACGCTGGGGCCTGGGGAGCCCTGGGAGAGCCGGTCAAGGAGCCGGAAGACCGCCCCCCCGAACTGGAAGAGTCGCGGCTAGCAGGGGCCACCGTCTGCCAGCAACAGAGGCACGGCCCCCCGCGGCCCCCCGCCTCCCCCCCCAGGCACCCATACCTGATGAGTTTTGTAGAAGAACAAACAGAAATTGGTAAAGACCACCCAGAGCTTCTGCCAGCCGTTACTATTCTTGAATTTTCTCAGCAGATACCCTGAAAGCTGATTCTGCAAGAAAAGAGAAAGCCACTGGACCCAGTCCGTGTCCTAGGACTCCACGCAGAGTAGCGCCTGCTCCCCCAGAATGCAACGTCGGCCCCTACGGCCTTGCTCTGCTCTGAGCCCGTCGGCCTGTTTGTCTAACGGAAGGAGATTTAAAAATCTAGAGAATGAAATCCCAGGCACTAAGTAGAGGAACACTATGTTTCTTTTCCCTATTTAGTGATTCCAGCCGTGACCCAACAGACCACACGGAGCCAAGTAAACGCAGTTCTGACAAGACTCCCCAGCTCCCGGCCCTGAGCGTGGCGTCCACGCCAGCAGGATTAGGAGTGAGCTGCCCTCTGCCCCGGGCTGTGAGGAGGCCGGAGTCCTGACCCAGGGATGGCCACCTAGTGGCCCAGCGACCCCACTCTCTCCTCATAACCCTCCCCGTGGGGCAAGGCACATGGGCCCCGTGTCAGGGCTGGTGCCCACGGGCACCCTGCCACTGTGCCCGTCCCCAGGCTCGTGGGGCTTGCGTGCGTGCCGGGCCCCAGCTGCGGTGTGAGCCTAGGGCTCTGGAGGCTTCCTCACCTGGCACTGCTGCTGCCGCCTGGGCTGTGACGGGAACTCGGACCCCCCCTCCCCCCACCCCCCCCCCCACCCCAGAGTGGGAGGCAGCCTGAGGGCTGAAGGGCTGGAGTCCAGAGCGGCTACTCCAGGTGCTGGAGGGGAGGCAGCAGCCCCTGTGAGCGGAGCCCTTTCCAGACAACCCTGGGGGTCCTACCCCCTGGGTCCTCACGCACGCGCGGCTCTGAGCTGCTCTCGGGCTGGCACCAGCCCTGGCGGGGACGGTCAGCCCGCAGCCCGGTGGCCGCCTGGGCCGCTCTGCCAGAGGGGACTTGCCTGCCTGGCTTCCTGCCCACGGGGACGGAGCAGGAGAGCGGCCCCCCGAGCCCCGCCCGCTAGCCCTCACAAGCGGGGGGCGCCCGCGGCGGCCATACCTCGACGGCCGCGCTGTGGTCGGCTCTGGAGATGCTGGCGTTGCGGTGCCAGCACACATGCACTGTGGTGTTGGCCCGGTGCTGGCCCTGCCCCTCCAGGGCCCCTTCGGACTCCTGCTCCGGAGCGGCCTCCTCAGAGGATCCTGGGGGAGGAGCCCGCCCCCCTCAGCGATGGGGGCAGGGGGCGAGGCGGGCCCGGGGCGCCCCGGTTGGTGCCCGGCAGAGGGGCTGGGCCTGGGGAACCAGGGAGCCCCAGGGCCCACACAACGTGCTTCTGCCAGAGGAGCTCACTGTCCCTCCTGGTCCCTCCCCACCCCCGGGGGCCCAGAACGTTCCTTGTGGAAGGAGAGCACGTGGGCTCTCGCAGGAGGCCTGTGACCGAGAAAATGGATTTGCAGGGGCGCCTGGGTGGCTCAGTCGGAGCGTCCGACTCTTCGGCTCGGGTCATGATCTCAGGGTCGTAAGGTCGAGCCCCAGGTCGGGCTCCCTGCCCGGTGGGCAGTCGGCTTCTCACTCGGCCCCTCCCCTCCCCACTCAGGCTCGCCAAAACAAAGGGGCTTTGTGGGGAAGCGTGCTGAGGTGCGGGGGGGGGGGTTCCACAGGGGCGACTCACTGTGGGGAGGAGCGCACACCACGCTGCCCGGCAGCGCAAGGGATTGGTCACTCCCGCTCTTGGCCGCATCGATGGCGGTGTTCAGGTCACACAGCCACTTCTCCTTTTCCAGGCGAGTGCTGGGGGGAGGGCCGAGGCTCAGAGCCGGCTCGGCAGGGCCATCAGGGCCTCCTTGCTGTGCCAGCTCCTCAGAGCAAGACAGGAGGTCAGAGTGCCCTGCGCTGTGGGCCCCGGGGCTGTCGGGAATGCCGCTGGGGGCCCCGCCCGCATCCCCTTGGGAGCTGTCGGGGGCGGCAGAGGAGGGAAGGCAGCCCTTCAGCGCTGGGACCGGGGCTTCTGTAAGGGGGGTTGGTTCCCGAAACAAGGACTTTGGAGTCTCTGGTGCCAAGATACAGGGTTGGTTGCTGGTTCCTGTCCAGGTGCCCAGGCTGCGGGGGGGCGCTCGTGTCCCGTGCTCGCTGCCACCAGCCAGGACATCAGTCAGGACACGGCAGGGGGGGAGCTGAGAGCCAGGCGCCCACCCAGGAGGAGGATAGCCTCTCCCCCCGGGAAGGTGCTGGGGACCCCCCGCTCCCATAGGGGAGAGACAGCCGCCTGCTCACCACTGGGCTCGGGCCTCCTCCCCGCCGGACGTGATTTGGGAAAAGTGGCTGTTACCAAGTTACAGCCCTGCTGTGGGGACAGGATGCAGGTGAGACGGCCCTGGTGTGGCTGCCCTGCAGGCCCTCCCCCGGACTTGAGGGTGCCTCAGTGCGCGTGCCCGGGAGACTGCTGGTGCGCGCAGGCTGCCCCTGGTCGAGTGCCGTGGACCGAGGCTTGGGGGCCGCTCTGTGCGGACATTCTCAGTGGCCACAAGCTTCCCACCCAAGGAGAAGCTGCTCTCCCCTGGTCACACCACTGAAGCGGGGCCCACCAGAGGCAGGCGTGGAAAGCTCGTACCTGGCTGCCACCACGACCGTTTTCTGCGCTGCGCAAATGGTGAAACAGTGCGGAACAGAGCGTTCAGGCTCGCCTTCTTCAACCTGTGGCGGGAGGAGAGGCAAACGTCCGGAGCTAGCGCAGGGCGGGCGGGCCCCATGCTTGCAGCCCAACACAGTGCCGCGGAAGCCCTGTGCGAGTCTACGCTGACTACAAGGGGCTACGGAGGCACGAGGATCCCCATGTCATGGCACCTGCCACCCAGGTGGCTGAGCTGTGGGCCACAGGGCACCCAACTACTCACCGGTGGGTCCAGCACTATTAGCTGAAAGTCAAGCACAGGAAAAAATATTGAGCATTTTCATTATTAAAAAGGGAATTGGACAATTCACTTCATAAACCTGGTACCAAAACCTAACAGTTAGATTCAAAGAAAAACCTACACGACTGCTCTCAGTGTTAAGTGACTAAATAACTCCCAGATAAAATACCACCTAACCCAGCCTGAAGCACAGACAGGAAATTGTCCCAGGATCAAGTAAGGTTCTAGGAATGCAAGGGTGCTCCAGCCCTGTCCTTGCGTCCACGGGGAAGGGGCGGACGTCTCTACGTGCTGCACACACCTTTGCTAAAATCCAACGTGTGATTTCTGATAATATCTCTTAGATAGAAACACAAGGAAGATGTAAACACGAGAGAGGTCCTCTTTCTGAAGCCAAGACCTGTCGCCCTTCCCTCTGCGTTCAGGATGAGGGCCGGCTGTCTGTCCCCCGGGACCAGCCAGTTACAGGCGGCCCCAGGATGGACAGTTGGCCTGCGCGGGGCCCAGGAGACACCAACCACGGAGCTCGTGGGGCGCACACGATCCGAAATGAGCAGGAGCAGTGGCCAGCAAGAAAAGGTCAAGATGTTCGTCTTTCCTTACCCTGAGTTAGCATGTAAATGTAATGCGATTTCAATAGAAATCTGAGTGCTGTTTTTTGAAGGAATTTGTCCAAATGATTCCTAAGTTTATTTTGAAGAATTAAATACTTGAGAGCACAAAACACTTTTTAAAAAGGACACCCACATAGCGACTCTTCACCCACATAGCGACTCTTCCACACAACACATGACTCAGGAGAATGTGGACGGATGGTGGCGCAGACATGGAATAGAAGGCCCAGAAAGAACCCCAAGCGTGAAGGCGGGAACTGTTGCCATGAGGAGGGCAGCTGCACGGATGGGGGAAAGCAAGTGGTGCGGCCCAGTCCAGCCACCCAGGGACACACGTGGAGACAGTTCATGCAGTAAGAAAAAGCAAACTGTAAATGTGTCAGAAGAAAAAGGTGCTAATATGATCTTGGTATGGGGAGGGACTTCGGAGTCTGTACTCAAAAACTGGACGAGGACTACAGAGATGTCTGATTTCCCTCCTTGAACAGGTATTTGTTGGGCCCTCTCTGCCAGATGCTGTCCCAGGAGTAAGACAACAGTGTCTGTCCAGGGGGGTTTCAATTCTACAAGATAAAACCAAACTGTAGGAAACATAAAAAAGAATTACAAACTGGAGAAAGTATCTGGGACCCCTGAGAGCAGGCTGGTGTCTATAAATAGAGACTAGAGTGACAGATACGCCTGGGCGCCACCCCAGGGGGAGGCCCCAGACTCCAGGAGACACGGACTCCGTCAGCCTCACTGACCGCCAAGGGCTGTGCCCTCACCAAACTGCGGAGGGTGAGGGGTGAACACCCCGTGCTCCCCCACCCCAGGCTGTGGGAAGACAGGTTTGGACGCACTGAGTGGGAAGGTCGGCTGGGGCAGGTGCTGCACCAGTGACTCCCGGTCCTGTTCAGAGACTCAAAAGCCGATGTATCCGCTGCTCAAACAGTATGTTTTAGGCGTAGGTGAGGATGTGTCGAAAGAGATCCAATGGTGTCATTTCTAATTCTGAAAAACTAAATGGAGCCAAAATGCCCAGTGTAGGGAAATAGGAAAGCTGGAGTCTGGCTTGCCAGCCTGCTGCTCATCTCCTCGAAATGAACACACAGCTCCCGGGTTACAAGCAAGGAGACGTTAGCGACGAACCGCATGGCCGCCAAGAGTATCAGTTACCTCTGAAGACCGAAGGGCGTGTCACAAAATGCCCACAGTGTGTATTACTGGGTGGTCCAGTCATGAGTGACTTTTATATTTTCAGTTTTTTTCTATGATGAAAGTATCATTTTTAAAAAGTATACTTTAGAACAGATGGGGTGTGCTTCTGGCGATGGCACACGTGCCATTCAAACAGGCCCCCTTTTTGCTGAGGGTTAAAAAAGCTGAACCAAATGTTACGCCTGCCGAAGGCTCAGGTGCCCAGTGGAAGGAGGGACAGTGCCGAGGACCATGGAGGGCTAAGCACGGAAGGTACCCTTGAAGAAGGCGGTAGAAATTGAGGCAGACTGGCCAAGTGTCACAGAGCAGAGTGGGATCTGACCCCCCACCCGTGGACACCTGGACCGGGGGCTTCCTGTCAAAAACCTGAACTTGGCCTCCTTTCTTTACTGTTCCCAAAGATGGGTTCCAGGCTGAGTGCAGGTCTACACTCAAGGGCAAATGGAGAATGAGTCAATGTGTGTGTAGGAGTTTCTCCGTGACCTTCAAGCAGGGTCTCTGTCAGGCCACGGAAAGCACTGAGCACAAAGGGCAAGGCTGAGGAACTGGGTCACATGAAAACAAAGGGCTCGTCAGAGACGACATGAAGTGTCCTGTCGAACCTGTGACGTGGACGTGTGACAGGTACGTGGCATGGACAGAGGGCTCGCTGTGCAACAGGGTCGTCGATGGCCCAGGCCTGCTACGGCAGCGCACGGGTGGAAGGGGACCTGTCCCCCCGGCAGCTCACACAATGCGGAGGGGAGACCCGAGCCCAGCCCCGAACTGCAGCCCTCCTCACTCGCCCGTGGTGCTGTCTTGTCCCTTTGAAGGTGTGCGTGTGCACATGCATGTGTGTGAGACAACTAGTTAGGGTGACAGAAAGGGAGCACAGTTGCTCTTATAGGAAGAGACAGAAGCACAAGAACAGAGAAAGGCTCTATAGTCTTTAGAATTAGTGGTTCAGGTGTCTCTTTCAGAAGCTGTGTCAGCTCCACCCCCCCAAGCGCCCAACTGGGGTCTTTCATTGCGCCTCCTCCTGAAGGCCAGGCTCCCCGGGGCCTCGTCCTCAGGGGCAGAGGCTGCAGGCAGGGCCCGTGGAGCACCAAGAATGTAACCATGGCGGCCTGAGAAGGACCAGCATCGCGCCCAAGCACTCACCAGCATGCCGCGGAGGGGAAGGAGGCCCCGGATCCGGAAGTGGCTGGTGCCCGTGACACCCTGGCTTGAGTACAGCAGCATGTCTGAGAACTGAGACGGGAGGCTTTAAGTGACAAGCTTCCATGTCTAACAGTCCTTGGTTCAGCTCGGGTCGTGATCTCAGGGTCGTGAGATCGAGCCCCACGTTGGCTTCTGCGCTCAGGTTGGAGTCTGCTTAAGTTTCTCTCTCCCTCTGCCCTTCCCCTCCATGCTTTCTCTCTCGCGCTCAAACAAGTATTTTTTAAAAGGTTAAATTATTTTGACAAGAGGTAGCTAGTAACCCCACGAGTCAGCAGGTCTCTTGGGCCAGCGCCCAGCACCCGCCAGCTAGAGGCAGTGGGGAGTTCTGGCTGGTCCGTCCCCTCAGCCAGGATGGCTCAGGCTTGAGTCGACCAACTGGCACGAGGAAGCGATCGAGGGTCCTCGCGGGGAGGGCCTCAGCTCTCGATGGCAAAGCCAGCGCTCAGCATAACATGCCTGCAGCAACAGGGACTTGGATTTGCTATCTTCTGGCTTTCTGAGGGTCCCACAGACAGGCGCCCAGAATACCCAGTGAGGATGGCACCTCGCTGGGAGTGTTTTCTGCGGTCCTCACCTGGCTGTCCGACTTGGGGCCGCTCACCTGGACCACAGCCTTGGCTCCCCTAACAGAACCACACTCATCCCACCTACCAGAAAGAACATCCTCTGCTGCATGCCCTTCTTGGTGAGCTTGTGAAGGCAGCCCTCGCGGATAAACTCCTGAAAGAGAGGGAGGAGGTCCTTTGGTGCCAGTCCCAGGCTGCTTCGCGGGTGGTGTGCTGGCGGGGCCCCGGGCCAGGCTGATGTCACTGTTGACGCTTCTCCAAGCCCCTCACAGGCCCTCCCTTTGACGGCGCCCCCCTGCCCAGGACCCTCCACGTCTTTCCAGCCTCTTCCCTCCTGCCTGCTTGCTGTGGCCATCCACATCAGTCCCCAGACTGTCTGCTGAGCATCTGTGGTGTCTCACCACAGGCCAGCTATGCTGAGGGCCTTCATGTAAGGCAAACGGTATTGTTCTTGTTGAGGGGAAGCTCCTGGAAGGCTTAGGCATGGAGATCTCGAGTTCAGCTTTGAGAAACACTGGGCCAGAGCAGCCTGAGGACAGCACACCTGCACACCTGGTTCTCACTCAAATGCTGACAGGTAATGAGCGTCAGCTGCCACCCGGGCATCGGCACGTGGAGAGAGGGTTCCCGAAACCACAAGGTTTCCAACCTAAGGTGATGAGACACTGGTGGGGCTGGAGCTCCAGCAGGAGCCACAGAGGGAGAGGAGAAGGTTCTGCCTCTCCCTCCAGGGCCTGATGGTACCGCCAGGACTTGGGGACGCCTCACACGTCCCCACTGGTGTTGGAGTGCCGCCGCCCAGGCCCACACAGCCACCCCTGAAGGCGCAGATGTCAAAACAGGCCCCTAACTGCCCGCGCCACTGGCGGGAAGTGTCCAAAGAATTCTGGTTTGAACAATTTCCAGATATTCTCCTGCCGATCTGTTGGTCCTTTCAGATGAGTAGGAGCACGAGCTTCACACCCTGAGAACTTGCCAGAAGACCCCAGCCCTCAAATGGACTGAGCAAAGGCACAGAGAAGAGAACTGCACAGGAGCCTTGTAGACAAAAGGAGATGAGGAGGGCATGCCCTGGCATGGCGCCAGCACCGCACGATGGGCTGGGCCCGATTCTGAGTGTGATTCTGAGCTCCAGGCTTCTGCGGCTTTGACGTCAGACCCACATTCCCCACCCTGCTCTTTGGCAGAGGGCGAGTGGGTAGCTCCTGCCTCTTCCTGCGGCCACAAATCCTATTTGCAGGGGTTCCTGCCCTCACAGAGCCAGCTCCACCACCCGACCCCCCAACCCCCAGACCCAAGGACCCAGCTGGGCAGCAGCCCCTTCTCCAGGGGAGCATGTCCCAGGCCTGTGGGTGCTCTTCCCTCAAACCCCACCCCCGCCACACTGTGGGCCCGCCCTTGGCAGCACCTGCATTCTGCCTCTTAGATATTTCCCAGTTCTTCTTACCCTTTGATACCTCGTTATCAACTTTCTTCCTAGTTAACGACCCTTGTTCTTAAAGTCCTCTGCTCACATAAAGTGTGGTTTCTGTCTCTGACTGACACACATATTTAACAAGGAGACCGGTAGCCCTGGGTTCAGACTTTTAGAGAGTTCAGCTAAAAACAATGGCAGCAAGTGTTCACATACCAACTACTTTGTGCAAGGCACTGGGCCAAGCAGTCCCCTTGTTGCCCCAAGACCCTCTATATCACAGACGTGAAGCAACCTGCCCAGGCCACACAGAGAGCCTACCCGACCCCTCCTCTGTGGCTACTCTCCTTACCCCTCAGTGACAGTTCCCAGGGGCCACCATCTGTAACACTGGGTGGGGCATGACGAGAAACTGAGAGCCCTACGGACCTCCCGGAGCTCCCAGCCAACAGCTCCACTCAGAGCCCCGTGGTTAAGGACAGAAAGGAAACGGAGCTATCCTGGCACCCAACCAAAGCCCTAACTCCAGGAGATCAGAACCTTCCTGTACATTTTAGTGTAGTTCACTTCTTTGAGTTTGTGATCCCACATTCTCTGTACCTTCTAACAAGGCTAACATGGAAACGACTAACACAGCCACACTCTATTACATGTATGTTTGTGTTGAGACAGGAAACATCCTCATGCAACCCGTAAAATGGGTTTCTTCTGTTGACAGTACTGAGTTCAAAAAGGCATTAGTGACAAAGTAGGCAGTGTAGATATGTAGACCCATGGAATAGGATTGAGAGTTCAAAATTAAACCTGCACATCTGTGTCTATGGACAGTTCAGCAAATGGCGCTGGATATTCACATGGAAAAAAATGAAGTGGGACCCCTACCTCACACCACACAAAAATGAATTACAAAACCATCAAATCTAAATGTAAGAGCTGAAACACAGGAAGTTTCTAGAAGAAAACATAGAGGCAAACTGTCATACTGTGGACCAGGCAGTGGTGTCTCATCTGTGACAACTAAAGCACAAGCCACCCAAGAGAAAATAGGTAAATTTGACTTCATAAAAATAAAAAAACCTTCTGTGTTGTAAATGATACCATTGAGAAAATGAAGAAACAACCCACAAAATGGGAGGACATATTTGCAAATCCTATTAAGTGTCTCAGGTCCAGAATAGATAAAGAATCTCACAACTTGGGGCACCTGGGTGGCTCAGTCGGTTAAGCGGCTACCTTCGGCTCAGGTCATGATCCCGGGGTCCTGGGATCGAGCCCCGCATCGGGCTCCCTGCTCAGCGGAGAGCCTGCTTCTCCCTTTCCCTCTGCCTGCCACTCTGCCTACTTGTGCTATCTCTCTGTCAAATAAATAAATTTTAAAAAATCTTAAAAAAAAAAAAAAAAATCCCACAACTCAACAGCAAAAAGACAACCCAATTAAAAGGCAGGCAAAGGATCTGAATAGGCATTTCTCCAAAGAAGGCACACAAGTGGCTAATAAACACAGGACAAGAAACCTGACATTAGCCATCTGAGAAATGGAAATCACACCCACAATGAGACACCATTACATACCACCACGATGGCTAGAATCAAAAAGATAAGATATGGAGAAACCAGATCCCTAACACACTCCGGGTAGGAATGTAAAATTGCCCAGTAACTAGAAAACCGGCAGCTTCTCAAAATGTGAAACAGTTACCATGTGACCCAGCAGCTCCACTCCTAGGTATCTACCCAGGAGAATTGAAAGCACATGGTCACACAAGAGCCTGTGCACAAATGTTCACAGCGGCATTATTCCCAATCACCACAAAAGGGAAGCAACCTGAGTGTACAGCAGATGAGCGGACAAACAGAATGTGGTGCGTGCAGAGACTGGAACTGATGCAGTCGCTGAAAGGAGGTGCTGACCTACTAAAGCAAGAACCTGGGAGACAGGAGGCTCAGCGAAAGAAGCTAGACACAAAAGGCCACATAGTGAGTCCATTTATTGGAAATGTCCAGGAGAGGCAAAGCCACCAAGAGTGGATGAGTAGCTGCCATAGACTGGGGAGGGGGTGGGGAGTGACTTAACAGGTACAGCTTTTCTTGTTGGGGGGATGAAAATGTCCTGGAATTACTGGTGATGATGGCACAATCTTGTGGATATACTAAAGACCACTGGACTGCACAGTGGATTCTGTGGTATGTGTCTCAATTACATGCAATGAAATGAAAAAGAACAAGGCTGGAGGCATCACAACCCCAGAGTTTAAGGTATACTACAAAGCTGTAGTCATCAAAACAGTATGGTACTGGCCCAAAAACAGACACAGAGATCAACGGAACACAACGGAAAAACCCAGAAATAAACCCACTATTATACGGTCAATTAATTTTTGACAATGGAAGCAAGAATATGCAATGGGGAAAAGATGGTCTCTTCAACAAATGGTGCTGGGGAAACTGGACAGCAACATGCAAAAGAATGAAACTGGACCACTTTCTCACACCATACAGGAAAATAAATTCAATATGTATTAAAGACCTAAATGTGAGACCTGAAACCATAAAAATCCTAGAAGAAAATGCAGGCTGTAACTTCTCTGACGTAAGCCTTAGCAACAGTTTTCTAGATACCTCTCTTGAAGTAAGGGAAACAGAAGCAAAAATAAACTATTGGGACTTCATCAGAATAAGTTTTTGCACAGCAAAGGAAACAATCAACGAAACACAAAGGTAACCTACTGAATGGGAGAAGGTATTTGCAAATGACATATCTGATAAAGGGTTAATATCCAAAATACACAAAGAACTTACACAACTTAACACCACAAAACGAAATAATCCGATTAAAAATGGCCAGAGGACATGAACAGACATTTCTCCAAAGAAAACCTACAGATGGCCAACAAAAACATGAAAAGATGCTCAACATCACTTATCATCAGGGAAATTCAAATGGAAACTACAACAAGATACCATGTCACACTTGTTAGGACGACTTTAAAACACAAGAAACAACGTGCTGGCAAGGTTGTAGGAATGCAAACTGGTGCAGCCACTCTGGAAAACAGTATGGAGGGTCCTCAAAAAGTTAAAATAGAATTACCACATGATCCAGTGATCACACTATTGGGTATTTACCCAAAGAAAAAGAAAACACTAATCTGAAAAGATATATGCACCCCTATGTTAATTGCAGCATTATTTACCATAGCAAAGACATGGAAGCAGCCCAAGTGTTCACTGACAGATGAATCGATAAGGAAGGTGTGGTGTATGTACAATGGAATATTATCCAGCCATAAAAAAAGAATGAAATCTTGCTATTTACATCAACATGGATGGATCTAGAGAGTATGATACCAAGTGAAATATGCCAGCCAGAGAAAGACAAATACCATGTGATTTCACTCTTTGTGGAATTTAAGAAACAAAACAAATGAACAAAGGAAAAAAAGAGGCAAACCAAGAAACAGACCCTGAACTATAGAGAACACACTGATGGTTACCAGAGGGAGGCGGGTGGGGGGCATGGGTGAAACAGGTGACGGCGATTAGAGCACACTCAGCGTGATGAGCACTGAGTCATGCACAGAACTGTGGAACCGCTAGATTTTACACCTGAAACTCAGAGAACACTGTATGTTAACTACACTGGAATTAAAAACAAAACAAAACAATGAAGTGACCATCTCAAAGACCTTTCTCAAAGTCACTCACCCTGCCGGGAGTGATGAGATTCTCTACGCCAACCAAGTCGTGCTGCAGCTCTGTGAGTTTCTGGAGGTTTTCCAGCCGAGCGAGGCTGTGCTGGAGTGTGGAGGTCACCTCTGTGATGGCCTGGAGGGCATCTGTGGGGAAAGACCCCTCGTACAGGTGCCCAGGCAGGTGGGCACGGACGGAACCCCCCCACTCACCCCTTTGGGACAGGAACTCGCATTTTAAAAGGCAGGTTTAATTCAAGGAACCTTCTGCTCCCAACTCCTCACAGGACTGCCACCCTTGGTTTTCAGCTGCCAGTGCAGCAAGTGGGGGTCCCCGCAGCTGACCCGAAACTTGGACTTATTCAGCCCAAACAGTGGACTAGCTGACACTCAAGCTCGGTAAAAAGAGAACAGTCTTTGTGAAGAACTCATGTTCTGGGCGCAGCAGTATTTGTTCTTTTGGGAGAATTGCCAACTGTAGTTTAGAGGCTAAATAATTTGCATCTTTAAAACATTTGTACTTTTCTCCTCGAATGGAGGAACAGGTGCTGATCTTACAGTTCCAGTACAGATGTGAAGGTTTCTAATCAGAAAGGGAATCTCATGCAGACAGAACACAGAAGCAGACATGGAGGGCGGTCTGCGCGGTCCTGACCAGGCCACACTGGAATCAGCTGCTTAGCCGGAGCGCAGTGACCACATCAGAGAACCTGCTGTCTTCCGGCCAGGACCCCCACTGACACCCTGGCCACAGTGCCTGGTGGTCCCAAGAGGCGCAGCAGGAAACGTCTGCCCCCTTGGCTCCGCCCCTGCAAGTTGGTTGCTCCCAGTGGGGTGAGGACACCTGCCTCATGGCTTTAAGAGGAGAAAGATAAGAAAGCACATGCTTTGGCGAGTTATTCCTCCGTAAAGTGGACCACCATAAGAGCCGCAGGGATGCTCCCACAGGGCTGACACCCAGGGTCAGCTCTGTAAACACTCCTGAGCTCCTGCCCCATCTGGCCTTACTGTCCTTCAGGGCCCCACTCAAGTCTGGACACGAGGTCAGGCGGAGACTCGCTTTGCTCTGCTCATCCACTGCGGGCTGCCTAGCCCGTGTCTGCCTCGGACGGCACCCCGCACCACTCAGCCACTGCATGTGCGTGGAGCGGGGGGCCGGAAGCTTGGTTGCCATGTGGGCTCACCACTGCCCCTGCACTGGCACTGGGAGCTGCTGGAATCTGGAGATGCACTTCTGACCTGATGCCAGACTGATGTCCCCAGGCCCACCTGCGCCTGGGTCTCCACAGATCCATTGTCCTGTTGAAGGATCATCAACACGCTTGGTGCCTGGCCCGCGCCAGGCACTGCCCTTGGGAAACACTGAACTAAGGATAAAACAACGATGCAAAGCCACCTTCTCAAACCCCAACCTAAAGGTACCCCCTTTTGCCCAGTAGGTTCAAACTCAAGCTTTCCCTGAGGCCTATGGGTAGGGGAGCAGGTGGGAAGGGGCCCCCATCGGTGGCTTTCCCAGGGCTCGGAGGCAGCCAGGCTCTGCAGCAAACCCGTCTAGGCTGTTGGGTTATCACCCCTCTGTTGTGTTCACAGTTCACACAGCACGTTCAGAAATGCCACCTTGTTGGGGTCTTGCATCAGCCTACAGGCTGGGTCCTACTAAGGAGGAACCCCCCAGTGGCAAGTGGGCCCAGCCTTCTCCGCTGGCACTGGCGCCCCGCCCCCCACCGCCCCCGCGCCTCCCATCGGCGGTAGCACCCACCCCGCCGCCAGCGGGAGCTTTATAAATGCGCAGCACTTCGGATTTCCCTTAAAATGCCTCAAAGCATTTCTGACAATTTTATCCTTGCTCTTAGCAAACAGAAAACACTTGCTTTGAGAACGATGAGAAAGGAAGATGTCATATGACCCATCAGAAAGCATCTTATTTCTCCCCTTTAGGACTAGGGGAGACCAGCTAGAAGGAAAAGCTAAGTCATCTTTCATCTTTTAGTGACAGTGGTAGACTTACTTGTGAAAACTCCGGCACTAGATGTACACAACTAGAAACCCTCTGGAGGTTTAAAGGTCAGGGTTTATTCCTTTGTCTCTTTAACGCAAAAAGGACCAAGTCCATCTAGATCAGAACCTTCTAACAGGCCATCGTGACCCAAACGGTTGTTTCAGAGCCAAGGCTTTGGGGACAGAAGCGCCCACGGTGGCAGGTCACTCTGAGAGCTGCTCTCCACCCCCAGTGCACTGGGTGGGTGGGGGGGGCCGGGGGGTGCTGTGGAGGGGCCCCTCGGAGCAGAAGGCCACTCCCTGCGCCCTTCCAGGCGATCAGAGTCCTTCCCCACACTTCAGATGTGCAGCAGAGGGGGCCCCGCCCCGGAGCAGAAGAGCCCAGGGACAGGCACAGACCCGCTCCCTCCACCCGCTGGACGGGAGGGGAGGGCCGAGGCCAGCGCTGACCACCGTGGTACTGGGCCCTTCTGGGGTGAGGCCTCGCACCCTGTACTTCCCCCGTAAGGAAGCCAGCCTTCAGGTCCCACCTGGGAGCCCTGCGGGCCCCAGCACCGCGGCCACGCTGCTGCGAGCGCCGGCGCCCCCCGGCTCCTAAGCGCGAGGCCAAGGCAGCCCCGGGGGGCAGGGGTCCAGCTCCCACACTCACCGCGGCAGTCGGCGTAGTCGGGGTGCGCAGGCGCGTACCGCGCACACAGCCGGCTCAGCAGCAGCCGATAGTGCACCAGCCGCTGGATGGGCTTCAGCAGGAATGAGTTAAGGGGCAAGTAGCAGACTTTCTGGAGCTCAAACTCTTTGTAGACTGTCTCTAGCTTCTTAAAGCGTCTGGTGGCCTTTTCCAGTTCTGTCAGGACTTCATCATGCCTTTGGAAGTAGCTGGTAAACTCCTGTGGAGGCACACCGGGGGGGGGGGCGCTTTAGGATAGGAGACGTGGAGGGGGGGCGGCTGGCAAGCAGCTGGACAGCCTTCCCAGCGTGGACGTCACACCCCAGCCGGGACTCCCCCCGGGCCGAACGGAAAAGAACGGCCCAGCAGGCGTGAGACGCGAGGGCGGCGCTCGTCCACAGCCAGCGACCACCGCCCACCGCCCGTGCTGGGGGCACACAGGGCTGTATCCCCACTTGACAGACGAAGGGCCGAGGTTGAGAGGGCTGGAAACGCCTCACAGGACCTCACAGGACCCAGGGAGCGGTGCTCGGTGGGGAGTAACCAAATCATGCTCTGGCTCTGCCCTCAGCCCTTGCAGAGGCTGCGCGTCCCCCACCTACACGCAGAGCAGGGCGGGTGTTTGACCCAGTCACCGGAGAGGGAGTCGTCAGTCCCCGCATTTGTACGGCACAGATCCAAGAACACACGTGGATGGATTCTGAGTATTAAACAGATACGAAACCCAACCAATCCCTCCTTACCTCCTGGGAGGTTTTAATATGAAATCAGTTTGTTTTACTAGTATTACCAAACGTAACGTCTGTGGTATGATATCCTCAAAGAGGTTTGTGTGGATTTTGATTTTAAATTTGTGCAAGTGCTTTTGGAATAGATAGAAATGACTAATTTACCACCTGGCTGAGAAAACCAAAAAAAGTCTCAGGTTAAGAAAGGGGGCCCTGAGCAGGGCTCTCTGACAACACAACTGAGTGATCTTGTGGGTCCTTCGGGTTTCTAGGAACGGAATGGGGCCTATGAGTAAGTCAGGAGTCGGGCTGGATTGGGTAGAAAGCGCAACAGGCCTCGGCTGGGGGTGGCAGCCAGTCTGGTGAGCAGCCATGAGGGCTTGGGAACCCAGAGAAGTGCGAGTGGGGTTGAGTCTCTGGGCAGGATGCCGCAGGGCTGCCCCAGGATGAACACACAGGTGGGGCAGGCCTGTCCCAGGTCTGTTTAGCCAGAGTAAGACCCCTGAACAGTGAAATCACAGCTGGCCCCATTGTTTTCAACACCTGTGACAACTAGTCCTAATGAGAGGACATCTTGCTTCTGCCACGTTGCTGACAAATACTCTGTTTGTACTTTCTTTGGCACTTTACCCGAGGGAGCCCTATCACCTCTGAGGAAAAAAACCTGAATTATGAGGCAGCAGGTATGTGGACAGAAACCCCAACGCCAGCCTAGACAGGCTTTGCACATCCCACTGCAGGATGGTGAGCTCAGCAACGGGGGCAACAAGTGCATACGGACTGGTAAGGCGGGGGCTGATGTCCCACTGTGGATCACAGATCAGCAGTCAGCCCGTAGCACCTACAACCTCTCATGCTGTCCTGAGGGGGAGATTCAACTGAGGGCACTCTGTCCTGACAGTCTGCAGTCTTAATGGAAATGCAGTCCTGAGGAAAAAGCTGTCCTGATGGGAACAGACACCTGAGGGGAACGCTGAGCTGACGGGAGTGCTGTCCTTGGGGGAATACTGTTGGGATGGGGATCCTGTTCTAAGGAGAAAACTGCTCTGAGGGGAACACTGTCCTCAGGGGGAACTTGTCCTGAGGGGGACACTGTCCTGAGGAGAAAACTGCTCTAAGGGGAATGTTGACCTGGAGGGGACAGTGTCCTGTGGGGAATGCTGTCCTGTGGGGGACACTGACCTGGGGAGAAAACTGCTCTGAGGGGAACGCTGTACTCAAGGCAATGCTGTCTGGAGTGGGATGCTGTCCTGAGGAAAAAACTGCTCTGAGGGGAATGCTGTCCTGAAGGGAATGCACTCCTGAGGGGGATGCAGTCCTGAGGGGAATGCTGTCCTGGGGAGAAAACTGCTCTGAGGGGAACGCTGTCCTGAAGGGAATGCACTCCTGAGGGGGATGCTGTCCTGAGGGGAATGCTGTCCTGGGGAGAAAACTGCTCTGAGAGGAACGCTGTCCTGGGGGGGGATGCTGTCCTGAGGGGAATGCTGCCCTGGGGAGAAAACTGCTCTGAGGGGAATGTTGTCCTGAAGGGGATGCACTCCTGAGGGCGATGCAGTCCTGAGGGGAATGCTGTCCTGAGGAGAAAACTGCTCTGAGGGGAATGTTGTCCTGAAGGGAATGCAGTCCTGAGGGGGATGCTGTCCTGAGGGGAATGCTGTCCTGGGGAGAAAACTGCTCTGAGAGGAACGCTGTCCTGCGGGGGATGCTGTCCTGAGGGAGATGCTGTCCTGAGGGGAATACTGTCCTGAGGAGAAAACTGCTCTGAGGGGAATGTTGTCCTGAAGGGAATGCACTCCTGAAGGGGATGCTGTCCTGAGGGGAATGCCGTCCTGAGGAGAAAACTGCTCTGAGGGGACTGTTGTCCTGAAGGGAACGCACTCCTGAGGGGGATGTTGTCCTGAGGGGAATGCTGTCCTGGGGAGAAAACTGCTCTGAGAGGAACGCTGTCCTGGGGGGGATGCTGTCCTGAGGGGGATGCTGTCCTGAGGGGAATGCTGTCCTGAAGAGAAAACTGCTCTGAGGGGAATGTTGTCCTGAAGGGAATGCACTCCTGAGGGGGATGCTGTCCTGAGGGGAATGCTGTCCTGGGGAGAAAACTGCTCTGAGGGGAACACTGTCCTGAGGGGGATGCTGTCCTGAGGGGAATGCTGTCCTGAGGAGAAAACTGCTCTGAGGGGAATGTTGTCCTGAAGGGAATGCACTCCTGAAGGGGATGCTGTCCTGAGGGGAATGCTGTCCTGGGGAGAAAACTGCTCTGAGAGGAACGCTGTCCTGGGGGGGATGCTGTCCTGAGGGGAATGCTGTCCTGAGGAGAAAACTGCTCTGAGGGGAATGTTGTCCTGAAGGGAATGCACTCCTGAGGGGGATGCTGTCCTGAGGGGAATGCTGTCCTGGGGAGAAAACTGCTCTGAGAGGAACGCTGTCCTGGGGGGGATGCTGTCCTGAGGGGGATGCTGTCCTGAGGGGAATGCTGTCCTGAGGAGAAAACTGCTCTGAGGGGAATGTTGTCCTGAAGGGAATGCACTCCTGAGGGGGATGCTGTCCTGAGGGGAATGCTGTCCTGGGGAGAAAACTGCTCTGAGGGGAACACTGTCCTGAGGGGGATGCACTCCTGAGGGGAATGCTGTCCTGAGGAGAAAACTGCTCTGAGGGGAATGTTGTCCTGAAGGGAATGCAGTCCTGAGGGGATGCACTCCTGAGGAGAAAACTGCTCTGAGGGGAATGTTGTCCTGAAGGGAATGCACTCCTGAGGGGGATGCTGTCCTGGGGAGAAAACTGCTCTGAGGGGAATGTTGTCCTGAAGGGAAGGCACTCCTGAGGGCGATGCAGTCCTGAGGGGGATGCTGTCCTGAGGAGAAAACTGCTCTGAGGGGAATGTTGTCCTGAAGGGAATGCAGTCCTGAGGGGGATGCAGTCCTGAGGGGAATGCTGTCCTGAGGAGAAAACTGCTCTGAGGGGAACGCTGTCCTGAAGGGAATGCACTCCTGAGGGGGATGCTGTCCTGAGGGGAATGCTGTCCTGAGGAGAAAACTGCTCTGAGGGGAATGCTGTCCTGAAGGGAATGCAGTCCTGAGGGGGATGCTGTCCTGAGGGGAATGCTGTCCTGGGGAGAAAACTGCTCTGAGGGGAATGTTGTCCTGAAGGGAATGCAGTCCTGAGGGGGATGCACTCCTGAGGGGATGCACTCCTGAGGAGAAAACTGTTCTGAGAGGAATGTTGTCCTGAAGGGAATGCAGTCCTGAGGGGGATGCACTCCTGAGGGGATGCACTCCTGAGGAGAAAACTGTTCTGAGAGGAATGTTGTCCTGAAGGGAATGCAGTCCTGAGGGGGATGCTGTCCTGAGGGGAATGCTGTCCTGGGGAGAAAACTGCTCTGAGGGGAACACTGTCCTGAAGGGAATGCTGTCCTGAGGGGAACAGTGACCTGAGAAGAAAACTGTTTTGAGGGGAATGCTGTCCTGGGGGCGATGCTGTCCTGAGGAGAAAGCTGTCCTGGGGACAACACTGAGGTTGCACTGTCAGTTGCTAGGGGTGGAGTCATCATACCAACCCACGCTACCTTTAACTGATGCATGTTCCTGAGCAGGATGTCCCCGATTCGTTGATGACCGCCTGTGGCACGGGTGCTGGAAGACCCTTCCCTGGAGCAGAAATGGACAAATACAGTCAAAACGTTGTTAAAGCTTGTGCGCTGTATGTTGATGGGTGCTTGTGTGACTGGCTGTCCTAGTCATAAGCAGAATGGCAATGAGATGCTTGAGGTGGAAGGCCCACATTTGACAGAAATGATGGTAATATTTTGACCATTCTCTAAAAGATGGTAATCGGTCAAAAAAAAAGGCGGGGGGGTCATCTACTTTTAACTTCTTTCATTTCCTCTTCTGGAATAGGATGAATAAAAGTGGCTGTTACAGGTTTAGTCCTCCCACAAGTTTAAAAAATATACTTCAATGAAACAATGGTTCTTGTGAATTAGTTTCTGAAGCTGGGAAGTTCCTGGGAACAGGGATAGTGACAGGGCAGAGCTGCCCACGTGGGGGTCCAGCGTAGGGGACGCCCGTGCATGCAGGGTGTTACCAGAGTGTCAGCCTCTGCTCCACCTCACGCAGGAAGCCTCTGTGGAACTCATAGATGGGGTCTATGTTGGAGAAGAGCAGGGTCATCAGGTCTGCAGGCATGGCATCCTCCTTGACCACAGCACTGCGGAACCACTGCAGGAAGAGTCAGGGTGACCGAGGGACCTCGCCCCTGAAGGTCTGTAGCCATAGGACACCCAGCACTGACCCCAGAGTCCCCACTGAGACAGCTCACTCAGTGCTACAGCTATCCTCTCGGCTGACCACCCGAGTTCACCATAGAAGAAAACAATTTTGGGGGAAAAGCTTCAAATGGATACTTCTAGTTTTACAAAAAAATTGGATTAAATAGTCTTATCTTAGATATGCTTTAAGGCAAATATATTTAACAGACCATAAATATGTACGTCTCATGATGGCCAAGAGCTCCTTCTCAGGAGGGATCCTCTAGCTCTGGTTTAGATTTACGAAGTATTAAAGAAGACAAAGTAATAAAGGACTTAGGTTTCATACCACAGTGAGAACTTCTAAATCCTTCAGGTATGTTCGTTCTGTAGCGAGAATCTCCTTCGCTATGAAATAGGCCTCATCTGCTGTCGTACTCTGCAAGAAGCATAGACCGTATGAGCATGCGTCCGTCACGTCCGTCGCTGATGTCACAACACTCACTTTCTTCTGCTCTAGTTCACATCATCATGCACTTTTCATCCGTAATTCCTGAAGGGATTTCCTTCTGAGTAAAAATATAAACCCAGTTGGATCTCCCTCACATGTTTTTCTCGTTTTGTTATTCCTTTTTTTTTTTTTTTTAAGATTGTATTCATTTTGAGAGAGAGAGAGAGAGAGAGCGCACAGGCACAAGAGGCGGGGAGGGGGTGAGGAAGAGGGAGAGGGAGAAACAGACTCCCCGCTGAGCAGGGAGCCGACATGGGGCTCAATCCCAGGACTCTGAGATCTTGACCTGAGCTGAAGGCAGACGCTTAACCATCTGAGCCACCCAGGCGCCCCTATGTTATTCTTTCTGAGGAAAAAATTCACTGTTCAAACATCAACATCTATTATTGAAGCTTATTACTGGTTTTGTGATGAAATTATTGTTCTGATATCACCGGCAGGGGTGTAGCTGGTTAACACACAGATACACGCGTATGTATACGTGCATATATGTGACTATAAACGATTAAGTCTAACGTCCAAAGGTCACTAAAACTGCCAAAAGCTGTACATTCTAACTGTGCCCTATGTTAGAGCACTGGGCTGGCTAACACACTTTGATTGTGTGGCCAGAGATGGCCCAGCCCTAGGAATTCTTAACTCTCCATCGGGGCCTCTGCCTGATGTTCAGATGCTGGCAGCCAAGTCAAGAAGAGAAAGGGCTGCACTGGGCCCCCCGGAACCTGGGCTCTTGGCATTCCAGCAGTGGACAGGCCTCATGCTGCACCTGGGCAGGCCTGTGTCTTGGCCCCGCAGGGCCCTTCCACATCCTGAGCACCTCAGGGAGCTGCTTCTGTCAAGGTCCAGCTCAAAGGCCCTTCCTCTGTCCTTTTGCACCTGGCCTGTTCTATCCGTGCATGCTCCGCTGTAGCTCCTCCACCAGGTCGAGGACCTTAGGGCTGCCTGTCCCTGAGGCCACCATGCCAATATCCACAGAGCACGTGCCAGGCCCAAATTGGCACCTGGGACATGCCCAGGAATAGAGGTCCCTGCCCTGCGGCTGACAGTTATGGAAGTAAAAGCAGAAGGGGTTGGGGTGGAGGCCCAGAGGCGTGGGGTAGCCACAGCGTCTAGCAGAGACAGGGCGGCCCGGTAGTGGGAGACAGGCTGCAGGTCAAGGATGAGGGGAGGAGCAAGAGATAAGTGAGCTGGTTACTGGTGGGAAAGGCAGGGCGGTCCTCTGGGGTGGATCAGAGCACATCCATGTGCGCTGGGTCCCCAGGACGAGGCTGGCTGCAGCACTGAGAGCAGCACAAGCGGCTGGGGTTCAGCAGAAGGCCTCTGCACCGTCCAGGCTCCAGAGCCGGGGAGGGGACAGCAGGACCCCAAACACAGTGTCAAGGTCAAGTTCTGGTGTGGGCGGAGGTCCGAAGGCAAGGGTGGACTGTGTTTTGGGGCCCAAACCAAGGGAAAAAGCTGCTGTCCCCAAGGTAACAGGTTTGGGGAGGAAGGTCAGGGGTCAGGTTTGCATGAGTCTGGGATGGTCTTCCGATGCCAGCTAGAAGCTGACAGGGGAGGCTGGGCTGGAGGCTGGTATTTGGGGGCCGGCCTCTTCCCTGTGTCCCCTGCCCCCAGGTGAAGTTTACCAGAGGTTGCAGTGTTCTCGCAGTGAAGACAGAGGCGTGGTCCCGGAGACTACAGCTATGGCCATGTCCTGTCCATCCCACCAGGAATATTCCACGTGACCCACTCTTCCCAAATAATCAATAGCTGCTCTGTCCTAGCAGCCAGGCCTGCTCTGTGGTCTCATGAGGCTGGGGTCCCAATAGCATCTTGGAGTGTCCACCCCTGATCCCTGGAGCTCCAGTCCCTCTCCCCGCAGAGCGGCAACCTTCATGCTCTCCAACTCTTTCTATTTAGGCTTTTACTATTGAAACATGACTCTTTCAAATCCTAATTCAGTCAAATCTCTTTAAAATGTCACATCTCTACTGGAGCTTGATGTTCTCAGCAGGCTCTCTGGAGTCAGAGCCAGCCCCAAGAGGCCCACATTCATGGTCTGGAGGCTCTGGGCCCCCATGCAGCCAAGTGTCCCTGATTTGCGCATCAGGGCACACTGTTGGCCTGGGGCTCTGGGCGGGGCGTCCATGCGGCAAGCCGGCTTCCTAACTGCAGTCCCCTCTGCATGGGGTCCCAAGCAGCGCCTCAGCCCTTAGTGTATCCTGCAGAAACAGGGTCACCCTGAGGTTCTAGACCCACTCCTCTCCTGTGGCGGGGGGGGGGGGGGTGAGGTGCCCAGAGGGAAACATTCGAACACAGCCATGGCAGCGTCACTGATGAGCTCACAATCACGTCCCAGGGGCCACCGGTCAGTGACAGGAGACACGAGGAGTGCGGTTGTCAGGAGCGCTCATGGACGCCTGTGTATCCATGGCTGGTCTCCTGGTTTCCAGTGCAGAGAAAACCTCTTAGGGGACCTCCCAGGAGAGCAGAAGCCCAACTGCTGTTCCCTGGGAGCCACATGGCCGGCCAGCCGGGCGGCAGGTCAGTGGTGCGGGGCCGGCACCAGCCAGGGAGCAGAGCGTACTTTCCCCGTGGAAGGCAGCCCGAGAGCCCCGGGCAGGCGGCACCTCCACCTTCAGACCTTCCGAATACCGTTGGCCCTCATTGATTTCTATCGGAAACCAGGGGGAGAAGCAGCATATGTTAAGTGGGACACACTGGTGAGGTGGGACACCAGGAAACAAACGGCACAGGAGCTCACGACTAGGGGTCGGCACACAGCCGAGTAACCAGACGCAGGCTCAGAAGGCCCACAGCGCTGAGCTCCCCGAGCTGCGGGGAGTCCTTGTGCGCCCGCGGCCGGGCCTGCAGCCAGCACGGAGCGCAGCCGGCTCACCGGCCTTGAAGCGGGTCTCGGAGCTGGCCTGTGGGCTGCGTGGGGCAGTGCTGGGGCGAAGCCCGCCTGCTCCCACCGCTGCCTTTGCTGTGCGGCCCCAGGCAGGCAGGCAGGCGGCACGAGGGGCTGGAAATCACGAGGCAGCGCTGTCGGCGAGAGGGAGGCAGGGGGGGCTCTGGGGGGGGGGGGGCGGCGAGCCCGGGATCCCCGTGCGCCGGGCCCAGCCACGGCTCAGTGAGGTGCCTGTGGCGCGGCCCCGGGCTCCTTCTCTGAGGCCTGGTCTGGATGTGAATGCCGCGGCCATCCACCATGACCCCGGTTGGTGGCCCTCTGGTGTTTCAAATCATTACCCTACAGAACCGCCGAAAGGACTATTTTTCGTAGTAAAGTACAAGTTAAAATTTAGCTTTCTATACAGCTTTCTAGCCATTTTGTTTTTGCACTAAAGCAACAGTGAGCTAAATAGATGGTCGTTAGGTTTCCAAAGTAAGTAAATAAAAACATCCTCAACCCAGTTGTCTGGCTGCCAAATACAGCGCCCGAGGGACCACCTCTGCCAGCCAGCTCAGTGAGGATGGAGGCCTGAGGGGTGGGGGCTGCAGGCCCTGCACGTGGAGCCGGGGTCCTGGGACCCCCGCCCTCGCCGGGCCACCTCACATGACGGCATGCCTTCCGGCTCAGGGTCTGCCCTCTCTGAAGTGGGGCCCAGGAAGGAGTATGTGCTCAGAGGGCTCACCAGTCCCCTCCCATGGTTGACCCCGCCTCTCAGGGAAGCTCACGTGTCCCACACACAGTAGCCCTTGGCTTGACTCACTCTCTTTGGCCACTTCAGGATGAAACCCGTGGCATGACAGGGCGTTCTCCTCGGTCACGAGGAGCCTGTGAGGCGGGGTCCCACCCACTGTGGACATCTTGTTCCTCAGGGACCCCCTCGCTTCCGTGCATGGGGACAGATGCCCCCTGGGTTGCCACAGTCCACAGCCGAGTTTTCAACCATTCTCTTTCCCAAACCTCCAAATGCCTGGCCCCTTGGCCCTTTCTGGTGTGCCCTCCCACCGAGCTGCTTTCCCCGGGCTGCCTTATCTGCGTCGCCACCACTCAGGCAGGAGGCACGGGCCAGGAGAACGGGGACGACCACGCGACAGATGCCACCGCCTCTGGCCAACACCTCTTCCTCGAGCTCGGGCGCGCCTACCCGCCAGCCTCCCAGTGTGCGCCCTCACTCTTGTCCTGTGGGCATCGCCTCAACTTTTTACCACAGTCACACACACCTCACCCCCCCCCCGCTGCAACACTCCCCAGTGTGGACCCCCCACCCAACCCGCACCCTCTCAGAACCCACTCACCCATGAGCCCAACGAGATGGGGTCCCTGGTCACCCTCCCTTAGCACCCAAGCCGTCTCCTCCCAAACACATGATTGTTCAAGAAGAGTGCCCAACAAGGGAGGGAGGGCAGGAGGCTGAGGGCTCCCTCAAGGCCTGGCCATTCCCCCCACATCTCCACTTGAACCCATAGGTGCCAGGAACTGCCACTAAATGAATAAGGAAGGGAGCTGAGAAGTCCCAGGTGAGGTGCGGCTCTCAGGACAGATTTCACTGGCGGAGACAGCACACCCCGCGCAGAGCCTGCCTGCCCGCTCAGGCGTCCCTGCAAACCAGGCCCGCCAGCAGCAAGCCGTCTGCTGGGGCAGTGCCCACCTTGTGCTTCAGCTCCTCCTCGCCGTCCATCCTGGCTCCGCCAGCGTCGCTAAGGGCAGGGCTCAGGAGGGGGCACAAGCCCTGCCCAGCTGGGCCCAGAGTCACCTGAGACGCAGGGCTCAGGCTCAGTGGGCTCTTCCGGGTGGAGGGAGAAGGCTGAGGACTCTCCATGGAAAGGCCTGGAATTGAACGGGGCAGGGGATGGAGCAAGAAATGAGAAAGGGCCGCCACGCTGGCCAGACCCCAATTCCTACTGCACTTTAGCCAACATTAGCCTAATGCTACGACCAGGCGTCTTCTGGGAGGTGGGTAAACAAAGCCTCCATCACACGCAATTCTTGATGTGACATAAAGTAAGACGAAAACAGGTTGGCGGCTGGCCAATCCAATGTCAGAGACCAACCACAGGCGGTTCGGACACCCAAGGCTCAGTGTGTCTGGGGTTTTCCTCTGCTGTACACAAGACGCAACCGTGATAAAAATAAGCAGCACAAAGCGTGCAAAGCAGAAGGCGTGATCAGAGAGGGGCACTTTCCCTGCACATTCAGTGAGAGGCAGATTGTGGAGGCTGGACCTGAGGGGTCAAAGCGGGGCTAACATATCTGAAAAACAGAAGTGTGATTTAAGGACACACTTGTCACTCATTAAAAAAAAAAAAACAACGGGATCATGTAAACTTACCATACTGTTTCCTACTTTGAATTTTTAACGAACAAGGATTTCGTATTGGTTTTCTAGAATCACACCACAAAACCAATACTGTTTTTCTTCTTAAAACACAGTTTGCTTTTAACTAGGCAGAAGTCCAAATTTTGGCCTAGTCCTAAGGCGGCTGCTGCTGAGGCATACTCCGTCACATGCTTTGTACTAAAGGAATTATCAAGAGTTAAGTCTACGCTTTTCTGTGGGGAATCAGTAATCGTTCAATGCCAAGTTTTAAAGATATCTTTATAGCAGAGTTTTATCCAAGAAATTAACTGGCTTAGAAGCTATTTACAATAGAAGTTTACCTCAGGTTGACAAACGCAGAGCCGTTCTAACACTGCAACTACCACGGTTTCTGGCCGCGACGGAGTGAGCATGCAGCTGGCACAGAAGTAGCTGGACCGGGACCCCTGGCGCCTCCCCTCCACCCACCACCGGCTTCAGAGCACCATCGTCTTCCACCCTAGCCAGACTTCAAACACAGTCGCCTACAGTGACGGTTTGGAACACCCAAACTTGGCTTATTCGGCCTAAAGCACGTGCGCGTGCAGGCAGGCAGGTGAGCTCGGAGGAGTTCCCCAGAGGACACCGCTGTGCCGAGCGCCGGCTCGCCCGGCGGGCATGGGCGCTGGCGCCAGCGACCCCGCAGCGTGGCCAGGGCTGCAGGGAGGGTCCTTGTTTTCACATTGACAAATCTGGAGCTCTGGACGGCTGCAGTGTGCGGTCAGGGGCCCTGCCCAGGGGCTTCTGGGGGCGAGCTAGCAGTGCTAGGACGACAGAGCTTTCCTGCGGGATTTCTCACCACTGCACAGGGTGGAAGTATGAGCAGACGCTCACCGACAGGGCAAACCTGGACGTTAAGAGTATGACATTATTGGGCACCTGGGTGGCTCAGTTGGTTAAGCGACTGCCTTCAGCTCAGGTCATGATCCCGGGGTCCTGGGATCGAGTCCCGCATCGGGCTCTCTGCTCCTTGGGAGCCTGCTTCTCCCTCTGCCTCTCTCTCTCTGTCTCTCATGAATAAATAAATAAAATCTTAAAAAAAAAAAAAAAAGAGTATGACATTATTAACAACCAGTTTATTAGAATTTGCTTTTAGTATACATTTATGCTAAGCAACCTTAAAATCACACGGAATTCCTTTGTCTCCCCTGCCCCACATGGAGTGCAGGAGCCCAGGGCTCTGCTGGTCCCTGCAGCGTGGAGGACTCCCTACGTGGGGAAGGGGCGGGCACTTCAAACCCCTTTTTGTCCTGAATAGGCCCAGAATTGTGCAGAGATATTTTTACACATGGAGAATTCAGAAAAAAAGTCCAGAAGCTACTAGCAACAGATCTTATTTTTCAATTGTACCAAAGCAGGCAACCCGATGTTTACACTTACTGGTTATGAAAATAAGCTAAGTTCACTGTTCCAGTCTGTCCCCCAGTGCCCCCACACAGTGCCTCCCTTGAAGACGGGCAGTCCTACTGCAAGTTAATAGTGGACAGTTTCCCAAAAATTGGCTGCCAACTTGACTTTATGTTAAAAGCAGAAGGTGGAGCTCGAGGAGGTGGTCCCCACTGAAGCGTTGGGAACGGGCCGTGGGGCTGGCAAATAGGCTGTGGCTGGTGCGGGCTCATCGGGCCATTGAATTAGAGAATGCAGCTTCCGATAAATGGCCCCTTGGTGATGAACTTGTGAAAGGAGCTAACCCTTCAGGATAGACTCTCATTTGGAATAAACTATTGTGCTTCTAGGGAGGTTCAAAGGTTCATATCATCTTTGATATGATCACTGCAGACACTTCACAAAAATCATTAACTCATAATTTAATGAATAGATTAAAAAGTACCACAAACTGCCATTAAACATTTTTTATTAAATCTGTCAGCTACAGCAAAACATTATAAACCATACCTACTTCATATTATGTAAACACAGACCCTACCAACGTAAATCTGTGGGGAGATGTGATTTCAAGCAAGCGCATAAGCATGCAGCCCGTCCACGCTCGAGGCTGTTCAGAGCGTGCACCCACGGCTCCGTGCCCTATCCTGTGAGGGTCAGCCTTAATACCACGTGTGTGAAGTCTGCACGGAGAACCCAGGCGTGGGCCGCGGCTCTGCAGCTGTGCGCTCCTGGGGAGGCAGGAGTCAGAGGTGCTGAGGCCGGCATGTGGTTGTGGTGGTGAGAGTGCAAGGCCACTGATGTTAGAAGCTCCCTGCCGCAGAAAACCCTGTCAACACGGACAGTGCACACCAGAATCCAAGTCTTAGGGTTTTTAAAATGCTAAACATCGTTTTAGATACCACAGAATACATTTAGCCTTAACTGCCATGGAAAGAATCTTAAATATTTGTAAGAACAGACTCCTGTGTCCAAGGTCCTCTACCAAAAAACCGCAAGAATATTTTTCTGTATTACGAGAGTCCCTACCATCGAATCCACTTAGACACAAAGGTGGTGCTCTACGTCCCACTGCAGTATTGAGAATGACTGATTCGTTTACCTGTAGTTGAGGAATTTTTGGAAATTCTTCAATTTCCAACATCAAATTATTTGTAATTGATAGACACAAATGGTAGTTATGTTCTACTGAACTCCACATTCCTGCTGGAGGGGGTCCACACCTTCCAACCTGTGGTTCAAGACAGGCTCTGCGCCCAAAGGGGCAAGTTAGAAGGTTTGATCATCTTCAAGGACTCACATTTAAAACATTCCAAACTGTCAACAGGAAGCAATTCTGACAGGTGATTTTATTTTCAAAAGTTTCTAAGTATTTGTCTTATAAATTTTGAAATGTCATTTTAAAAAGCACAGTATTATCCTTCTATGTCCACCTTCACTTTATTCACCTAACTGGGTGGTGAAAGATCAATATCACAGAGCAACATTTAAGCTCATTTTCATTTCATTCCATTAAATTCTTTTTCAAAACTCTGTAATAAATAATCTTGAAAATTTTGCCCGAGGTGGAAGAAGAATCAGCTTTGGTTTGGAAAATTCAAGGTCAAGTCTGAAGGTTAACATGATAGTCTGAACACGATAGTCTGAAGTAAGATCTAGAAACTCCCTCTTTGGCTAGAACAATGGGTCGTTAATTCTATAAAAGGAAAAAGCTAAACTGTACCAAGAACCCAGGTAAATGTGAGCTTAACAACTTAGCAGAAAACTACATCTGGCTCCACTTTTGGACTAGGATGTCACAAGTCACTTTTACCCAAAATCTGGCTCAAAAATAAAAGCGGGAGGAAGAAGAATGGCTGGTACGCAGGCTAGTGTACTAGTTCCTCTGTTTCTGCAGGCCTCCTCTGCCTCATCTCTGCCACTTGCCAAATGGCAGAGCAGGGTCTGACGTGGGCCGTACCCTCTCCAGGGCGCTGGGGGGGGGCTCACCCATGGCCACACCCACAAGGCTGTGAGCAGGTGCCTGGCACACAGGGGCCTGGGGGTGTGGGGGCGGCTGTGGTGACCCGAAGTTCAGAGGGTGACGTCAACACACACGGTGCCCCAGGAAGCATTTTCAGTCTTTCCTTGTTAAGGAAAATATGTGTTCTAGCCTACAACACAGTCACGCTTTGGGTCGTCTGTCCAGATCAGCACCTGCAGGTGCGGAGTCCCCCGCACACCCGCATGTGGGTTCTAAGAGAGGACGAATCTTGTCTACAGGTCTTCGGAACTAGTGGAGCAACGGGGGCAAGGTACCCCAAATAAACCACCCCAAGAAGCTGAAGAATCTGCAGGTGATGCTCGATAGGAAAGAAACGTAGTCTGGGTTAAAAGAATTAAAAAGTAAGAGTCATCCAGTCTTTACCCTCGTCATCAGTCAACCCAGAGATGGGATGGAAAAAAGAATGCTTCTGAGCAGTTTCTTGAAATCTGGGTTTGTTAATGAAATACCTCCTTGGGGAATCACTCATGTCACCACTGCACCGTGAGCGGGGGCACCGGGCAGGGAGCAGGGCCTGCGTGTCGTGGGAGGGAACGGGCGTGCCCGTGACGCACGGCCCCCCAAGTGGGGAAGAGGCTGCTGCGCAGGGTTCTGGGGGGTTTGTGCTGCAGCATCCTGCTCTGGAGTGCGTCAGGGCGCAGACACTGAGCCCCAGCAGGAGCTCACTGCCAGGTGCCTCCCGCCCTGGCTGCCCTACGTGCTGGGCACCGTGGATCCCCGGGGGAGACCAGTACCCGCTCCCAGGGGCCTGTGCTGCCCAGAGCGGCCAGAGAGGCCCGGTACCTGCCCCCTCAGGGCTGGCAGCAGCCACTGACCAGGAGGTGGGGGCAGTACCCCCCACGCTCCAAGGCCTGAGTGGGGCTGGAGAAGTGTGGAGGCAGCAAACGCTTGTGTTGGCCAAGTGGGAAACTCAAGTTCAGAACTGGGGTAAAGACCCGGTCAGAATGTGAGCAGCTGCTATGCTTTGGGTCGGAGATTTGATAGGGCAGATGCTAGCTGACAGGGGGAAGGAGGGCAACAATGTTCTCACCTTCAGAATTA